GTGCATTGAGCTATAAATAATGTCTCCTTGCAGATAAGAATCTCCTGAATTTTTTTTTTCTACCTTTGGAAGATTTTCTCCTGACCCCAACTCCTGAAGGAGCCTTTCCCAGCCTTAGCAGTGAAGTTGCCAGATTGACTTTCTCCTGCCAGGCATCCATGAATGGTGTCAATCCCAGGTCAGCTGCTACTTCCCCGCAGCCACCTCCTCATTGTTCCTGCTTGGGCTGTGGCAAAGATGAAACGAGCACTCAGTGATGCACAGCTGAGACCACTGAAGTGTCAGGAAAACTGATTAAACCAATGATTTTCTCTTCCGCTGACTAGCTGCAGGATAACATCTCCTGCATTACCTCCAAACCACCTTCCCTGCAGTATGTTCACTTCAAAGAGCAATAGCCTGGGCCGTTGTCCAGCCGAATGTTCTGCTGTTTAGTGCCTCCTTCTACTGCTGCTCATTCTAGCATTTTCCTGCTTTCATGTAAGTAACTCTTGCCCTGTGGAATGGAGCCCTGACCTGAAGTCCTCATCGTCCAGAAACTGCCCAGAGCTGGAGCACAGCACGAGCTGGTGAGGCGAGAAGTGAAGGTATGTCCTCAGAGCTGATGCTGCTGAGACCCGCGTCTGGTCCAGGCTGCAGCACAGCAGTGAAGCGGCTGCTATTTTGGCAGCTGATTTTCTGTGGTGCAGATAACTTTGCTGTGGGTTCGAATGCTGATGCTCTTCTGGGGAAGTGTTGTGATGGCAGGGGCCTGGGCTGTTGCAGAAGTGGAGGGACTTTGAAATCATTGAGAGCTAATAACGTTCTCAGATTTGAATAGTTTAGTGTGGGTTTTTTTAAACAATGATTAAAATCTACTCCTTTTGTTGTACATGTTACTGGTCATCCCCCGTAAAAATGTGCTGGGAGCTCTTTGTACCACTTACCTGTGGCCCTTCAGCAAAAGTTGTAGGAAAACTCTGAAGCTGCTCTCCTGAGTCGTGGAGAAATATTATGTTCCTTCATTAATAAAAACTATCCGCAGGAGAGAGCATTATGTAAGTACAATATACATAAAATAATTCAGGTTGGAAGAGCTCTCTAGAGGTCTCTAGCCCAACCCTTGCTCAAAGCAAGGCCAAAGTCAAAGTCAGCTCAGGATGCTTAAGGCCTTCCTTGTTCAGCTGGGTTTTCAGTATCAACGAGGAAGGACATACATGACCTCTCTGGTTCCTGTGCCACTGCTTGATCACCACGTGGTGAAGAATAATTCCTCGTATTTCGTTAGAATTTAATCCTTTTGCTGTGCAGCTCTGAGGAGACTCTGGCTCTGTCTTCTCTATAACCCTGGAAGGTTTATAGAGAAAACCTATATCATCAGGGAGCTGCAGCTAGCAATACGATCCCCCGCAGCCGTCTCTTCTCCAGGCTGAAGAAGCCTAGCTCCTTCAGCTTACCCCAAATGCCCTCCGCTCCAGGCCCTGACCAGCCTGGTGGCCTCTGCTGGACTTGTTCCCATGTATCAACATCTGTCCTTGCAGTAGGGCCAAGTACATTTAATTCATTGCATAATTAATGTGAAACCACGTTAGCCTTCACCTGCAGGGTACAAAGTCCTGCGCATGGTCTTATTAGTTCAGGAAAACATTCACTGGCATTACCTGAATCAAGCTCTATTTATTAAGTTCGTAAACATATGGATATGTTTTCATATTGATATGTTTTGATCATATCAGCAACTTTGCTTTATTGCTTAGTTCAAATGGTGCCTTCAGGCACTAGGTGAGAGGCAGATCTTCCATTTGTTCCAGACTGGTTTCTGCAGGCACGTGGCTCAGTACAGTTATTGGCCACACGGCAGCCGAGAGAGACAAAGATGGAAACTGCAGTCTGAATTGGTGCCTTCGGGCACTAGGTGAGAGGCAGATCTTCCATTTGTTCCAGACTGGTTTCTGCAGGCGCATGGCTCAGTACAAACAGTTATTGGCCACACTGCAGCCGAGAGAGACAAAGATGGAAACTGCAGTCTGAATTGTATTTAGCAGGCATTTTGGAGTGATTAGAGGCAATTTCATGAAAGAGCTACAACTAATTATTGTTATTTCCCACTTTTACAACAGCTATTTGTTAATTAAATAATGTGACAAAACCCAGGAATGTTTGGAAAAGTCTATTAAATAATTTGTCATTTATTTATCAGTGTATTACTTACACTGAGAAGTCACATATCCGCTAAGAAAATTTCCCAACATCAGTTTTGATTTTTCTAGAGAATATGAAATCAATACTGGCAAAAACTGTAATGGGAAATGTAAAACAAGAAATTCCTTGAGTAAGTGAGAGAGGATGTTGTGTAATGGCTAAATCCTGCCCTGGTGTCAGCCCGCAGACCCTCTGGTGCTCAGGACCATAACCTGTGGTACCTTGAGATGTGGCGCTGCCTTCGCTTACTTGCAGGTCTCTGTCCTCGTCCTGGCTTCTGCACACACGAGGATTTTCCTTTAGCCAAATGGTCATTAGCCATATACTGCATCTGACTTGGAGGATTAGAAGACCGTAATGAAGTGGATTACAGCACGAGATCAGTGGCAGGATTGCACACCAAATCCTCTTTCTAACCGTTCTTCCAGAAGTAGCTAAGAACTGAGCAACCTGTCCTACAGCATGAGCTTAGCCAGCTGTCGGATTTTTCCACGCAGTTATCCGAGGCAGGATAATCTGGAGCTGTAACCCCGGGTGGGAAGGCTGTGGATGTTGGCTGGCTGGAGGCTGCACATGAGTCTGAAACCTGGTGATTTCTGGGTGTTATTTTTGTGGCTTGCCTGGAGAGAAGTACCTGAGCAGCTCAGGGGAGACTGGTGTTCCCCAGTCAGCACTTAATTGTCACAGACTTGAGTCTCCCTAAAGTGTCTGTAGGTGAGAGAGTGAAGGAACGGATCTGCTGAACATCAGATGGGCGTTGTGGTGGTCGGAGGAAATCTGGGTTGGTTGGGGCCAGTAAGTGCCAGACCCAGTGCTGAACCCAGCAGTTGCAGTGGAAAATTTTTCTCTGGTATATACAGGCAACAAACACCAGCATTTGGCAGGAAGGTGCTTTCCACCCATCAGGAGAGAGGTCGGTCCTGCCTAGAGGACAGCACCGTCCGGGGCAGGGAGCAGCCCGGAGCAGCAGCATGTGGGCACCAGGCGGGAGGCAACCTGTCCAAAGCTGCCAGGTCGGGGCTGGGAAGGCTGGCGAGGATGATTTGCAGAGGTCTCGCTGCCTGACTGGAGCAGGCAGTGGCAAAGTTCATATTTGATCCAGAAAGATGTACCTCCCTCCAACTGTGCAGAGACTGTCCGTGGGAGCTGATGAAGGCAACAAGCGGGGCATGTGACAGCAGCCCCAGCGTGCTCCTGTACACGCGCAGGAGAAAGTATTTGGCTTCCAGAGATGCTATCCACAAGGCACATTAGGGCAAATACATCTTGAAGATGTGCCAAATCTGTCTAAAATATTCGTGCATGCTCCCTGTAATTTACAGAAACAAAGCCAGCAGCATAATGATTTTAATGTTTCTCCCTGTGAAGAAACACACCTCTTTTTAGGTAAAAATGTAACCTATACATCCACACAGCATGCTGTGGCCTTCATAACATGCCCAGGATAGGTGATTCCATGCACTACACAATTTTTACATTTAAGGATCAAAGTATACCCTTTAGACCACAGTGATGTATCAGACACCAACACAATTGCTTGGGCTAACTTTCAATGATTTCAGCTGAATTTCATTTGATTAATGGGTGGTGCCTTGTTTGTTCAAGGGAGCACCGGTAAAGCATCTTTCGCTCTGCAGCTCCCACGGTGCTGGAGTCTATCCTAAGAACAATGCTTAGCTCCCATGACAAAAAAAAACCCCAGGTATGCTTGTCATTTCAGACCTGTGAAAGGGATCGCGGTGAGAAACTTAGGTTAAAGGCAGAACCCACTCCTGCAAAATTACACCTACTAAAACAGCAGAGGTCTAGACCTCCTCCTAGGAAGGAGCAATTTGGAGATGGCGTGAGACAGACAGGAAAACTGGGACAGGCTCTATATTTTAAGTATCATTTTCTAAAATATCTGTAGGGGGGAAAGGACCTACTGTACTTTCAAGCGTAGTTGGTGCTATGTAAATAGGCTCCCAAACCTTCAGTGTCTTTTGTTCTTAAGATGGCTTGGCGGAACACTTTGAATCGGTCGGCGTGTTTAACTGTGACTAGGTCTGTAAATAAGTCTCCCTGCTGATAAGGTGCAAGTGACATTTTTAGTGGCATTTGACAGAATTTAACCTGCTTTCAAGTCTTCTACTGAGCTCCTCTATACCCAGGCAGTGAAACTGTCAAGAAGCCCTTTCTTTTATCAAACCAGTGCTAAACACCATTAGCTTCACAGGTTAAACACAGTCCTGCCAGACTCACCTGACAGAGCTTAACCAGTTCTGCTGATGGCAAACCCACACCTGACCCATGTTCATACCTAGTGGTGAATATCTGAGAAGGCAGAAAAAACCCACCCAAAACCAGAAAGGAAAGCGGAGACTCTTGGCCTGATCTGCAAACAGGGTGATTCGGCATGCTCTGCCTAAGCTGCTCCCTGATGGGAGATGTTGCTCCCCAGAGATCAATGAAGGACCTGCCGTTTACTCCCCCCAATATTTTGTGCTCCTTGCATTTCGGTTAGAATCCTAAAGAGTTTCTTTTGTCTAAAAGGCGAAGGTTTGTTTGGTTTTGACCATTGAGAACATGTGATACTTGTCTCAAGCTATTAACCAGATGTCCAGCCAAAATCAATTGTCTAGCAGACGCAGACCATTACCTGAAAGTCAAGACCTCAATAAATATTACCAGCCTCATTGTACTGGTGACAGATTCTGCTGGTTGTTTTATGTTACAGTTGAACAATTTAGACATTGCATTTGTATATATTTGCAGTCAGCCTCGGAGAGACCATCTCACGAGCAGAGCAGGAGCAGGCAGCCTGCAGACTGAAGAAATACTTCCACCATGACCACGGCAGGCGTTTTTGTGCTCCTCTCCTTTGCGCTTTGCTGCTTCCCAGGTGAGTAACTCTCAAGGTGCCGCAGAGGCTTCATGTCCGAGTCCTGGCTGTCTTTAAAAGGATAAGATAGCGGCTTCAAAGAAAGAAAATCTCCTACAAAAAGCTAGGCTGCCTCGGTATGTTGGCATTGCATAGGATGCAGGAGCAGGTTTCAGGACAATCTTATATGGATCACTGCTGCAGCTGGTTGTCTGTCGTAAAGACAAATAACCGCAAGTGGAGTCCTGTGCTGGTAACTAGTGCTGTTACAGTTTTTACACTCTGTTTTAACACTGTTACACTGCTTACGCTTGTTGTTGTACAATTACAGCAAATGGATAAACACTTGAAACAAGGCCGTAACGAGGTGGTCAGACCTCCAGTAACTAGTCCCAAAAATGTTGTAATGGCACAAGCAAGTTCTTTGCAGGAGCCTGGCAACTTTCCTGCAATACTTTTGCTGCTAATGGGGAAACAAGAGATGAAAACAAGACAGAGTCTGATGTTCTCACTGCATATTTACATCTGATGAGATCACAAAGTCAAAAACAATTTTTTTTTCACACTCAGCTTCTTTAAAAATGCATATTCCTGACAACAGATGCTGTGTGTATTTGCTTATCCTGTAGGTGACTATTGGCATTTGCATTTGCATTTATCTGTATTGACTCAGGTTTCTTTTCAGATATGTAACAGCAGCTCTTTAGGGTCAAAACGGATGTGTAAAAAGATAAGGAAGGAAAAGCTATTCTATTTTCAATTAATAAGTCTGTCTATCTCAAAACAAAGAAGAACAAAGCTATTAAAAAACATGTTTCATCACAGCCAGCAATAAGCAACGCTATTATGCTTATCAACATAGAAAAAAAAAAATCATACATAGTTTATTTAGTTCAGGAAACCAATCACTGGAAGTCACTCAGTTTGGTCCTGTGTATAGGAATTTTGCATCCAGATTTCCAGCTTTTTAACTGATGTCTTATCCTATCGGCTTTGTTTCACACTTTCTGCCTCTCTTTTTTTTTCCAGATGCTGCCTTTGGGGTTGAGGTGAGTGGAAGATTTCTTTCTGTCACTTTTCTCAGGTATGTGGCCTCGTAGAGACATAACCAAAGGAATAAGAAAAACCTCCGGCCTGTAGATGCTTAACTGTTTTTCACCTAGCGTGAAATTAGTGTCATTTGTAATCAGATTCTACAGTGTAAAACATTAAATTATACTGTTCTTGGCTCCACATCTATGCTGTATGTTAATAATATAGGAGTAGTAATGATACAAAATTTTTCGGATTAATTCATTTTTCACCAACTTTAAACTGGTCTAAGCTTTCAGCTGGTCATATATGACTGGCTCTAATTAAATTGCTCTGATAGCAATGGACTGTGGTATCAGAACCTACCTGAAGGCAACCTACTGAAAGAATAAAATACTTTGAGACACTCCAGCTACCACACACCAGGTCATTAGTCTTGCTCCTCTGAAAAAATCACAATCAGTGTGTTGGGAATGAAAGAGTAATAACAGAAGTGCGCCGGAGGGGCCACAAGAATATAAGAACGAGGGACCAATGGATAGCCTTTGTAAAATGATGCCAAGTGAGTGTGAGAGACCACCACTGATTTACCCCATCTGGGGGGCTGCATGGCTATAGCCCTCTCCTCCTCCTCTCCTGTTGTGTGGGGAGGTCTCTGCAGGAAGGATTCACCTGTTACCAGATTGACCTACCAGCACAAGTTTTTGCTCTGGTAGTGGAAAAACCCACCGCAGGTTGTATCTGGTCACTGTCTCATGCAAAATGAGAGTTGTGAATGTAGAATGCCTTCTCCACCCTGTTACTGTACGTTCCTTTGGCAGGTGGACTGCAGTACGTATCCCAACACTACAAATGAGGAAGGCAGAGAGGTGTTGGTCTGCACCAAGATCCTCAGCCCCATCTGCGGTACCGATGGAGTCACCTACAGCAATGAGTGCCTGCTCTGTGCCTACAACATGTACGTACTGCCCAGGAGAGCTCAGGCAGCGGTGTTTAGGACTCCTGGCAGCACCACTTTTCAACAAACAGTGATCTGTCAATGTCACTTGTGTCAATTCCTTCAAAATGAGCTTGGATATCACTGCGTCGCACCCCGTTGCCACTTCAGTCACTGTGTGTCTCTCTTGCTGGTGTAATTTATTCAGGTTTTTCTTCTCCAGCTCAAGGATCAGCCAGATGACAGCCCCTAGGACACATCTCATCACAGCAAAGCAGAGCAAAAGGATGGAGAGATGTTCTGCTCTGAATTGCCCAAAATGGTCCTAAAGCTCTCAGGGTCTTTACATCCCCACCAGCCACTCAGTGCTATCTAGTCAGGGAGGATGGCACTACTTTCTCAAAAGATATATATAAGCCTGGCTGATAAAGAGTCAGCTTTCCCTTGTATTAGTTACATATTTCCAGCACCTAGGATGTAGCAAGACGTCTTTGCTGAACTTCCTAACATGTGTCTTTCCCTCTCCAGAGAATATGGAACCAACGTCAGCAAAGACCACGATGGAGAATGCAAGGAAGTTGCCCCTGTAAGTGAAACCAAGGGCAAAACAAGGGCAGGTCCCACTTCTAAGTGGCCAAAGCTGCTTATTGACTCCCCCAAGAAATAATTCAAACACTAAATAAGAGGACGTACGAGATGTCAGAATCTTGCATTGGTCATCTTCAAGTGAACTGTCATCATAATGACACACAAAAAAGCATTTTTCCTGCTGTGGCGGTATCCTAGGTGGCCAAACAGACACACTCACCAGATCTACTTGCTTCCTTCACCAGTGCTTTGTTGTGTGTTCCCTCAACAGGTGGGCTGCAGTAGATATCCCAACACGACAAACGAGGAAGGCAAAGTAGTGTTGCTTTGCAACAAAGACCTCAGCCCTGTCTGCGGTACTGACGGGGTCACCTACGACAACGAGTGCCTGCTGTGTGCCCGTCACCTGTGAGTACTGGTGTGCAGAGCTCTCCTGTGAGGGACTCCTGCCAGCTGCTCTTCTGAATATCAGGACTTCTACCAAGGCCTTTTCTGTTAGGTGCTTGGACTTTGACCTTCCTCCTTCCCTGGTAACTAGACCCTGTTTTCCTTTGTGATTAGAAGGAAAACTTTGCCTTTGATCTAGAGAGAGTAGTAGAGGGCTGGGCGGGGATCTAACGCAGGACAGAATGCTTCTCCTAACTAAGTTAAAAGGGTCTATATGGCAGATGCTGCCTTGCAGAGGACAGCAGCTAACCTAAGGTGCATCTACATTGTCACACAACCTAGCTCCTAGTTCACCCCAACACCTTGGACCCTCCCTTGTCCTTCGCATCAGCTATAAAACAGCACTCCAGCAGGCTGGGGCACCACCTGAGCTGGTATCTAGAGCCACATGGACACAGCCTGAGCTGGACATCTTCTGTATCCCGTACATTGTACCTGAGGCTGATCAGCATTGCTGGGTCGTGGGTTCATCCCTAACGCAGGTGTCTTCCCTTCCCAGAGAACCTGGAACCAGCGTTGGCAAGAAGTATGACGGTGAATGTAAGAAGGAAATTGCTACAGTAAGTGAACTGCGTGATGAGGGACGGGGTTTCAGTCCCACCAATGTCGATGTTTGCAGCAGCACCCAGACCAGCAGCATCCTACAGGAGTAAAACCGCTGCTGTGCTTCAGCACAGGGAAGATTTTGCTTTCTCCACATGTAATACACATTATCCATACTAACGTCAGAAACGGAAGAGGGTGACTGCATGGGAAGGGATCAGTAAAAGAGTAGTAGCAGAAATAATCCATCAGGGCAGAAATGAGAATAAGAACAAAAAATGGCTTTTGGGGTCAGACCAATGGTCCATCAAGCCCATGATGGCTTGATGCAGAGCCCACTCTTAGCAGGGGTCATAAGACTGTGTAGAGGAGAGTAAGAGTAGAGTATGTATGGGACTTCTGCTCTTCCAACCTCCAGCTATTTTCAGGTGATGGACCTCAGCTAGGTGCAATTTCTGTGTAGTCAGTAAGCCTCGACGGATTTCTTCTCCATGAAATTCCTCAGCCTCTTCCTGGACCCATATACTTTTTTTGCGCTATGATACCTCCCAGCAAGTGTGGCACCCATTGCAAAAAGAAACAAAATCTCACTCTCACAGTATCTAGCTAAGTGCTGACCTTCCTGTTTTAAGACTACGGGAGAGATACTGGACCCTTATATAGGCATCAGCACCTACGCTTCTCCAGACACCAGTGTTTTTCCATTTAATTTCCTGGCCAGGTTGGGAACACGGTGCAATGTGATCACGAGCATGGCACGCTCACCAAGTGAACTGCTGCCGCTTAGAAATGTTGTGGTCAGGTTATGATATACATCTCTTCAAACAGGAAATTATGATCTATTTTTATATTATTAAATTCTTCTGGTATAGGAGAAACTGACACCTCTGTTTATATCAGATTGTGCAAGGAAGTTAATTACTTTTAGTTAGATCGTTATCATTAGTGCTGCAGCTGTAGCTAGGGGTTCAAGCCCTTCTGCTATTGAGTCGTTCATATCCTTCACATCAGACTTCTTTTTTTTTTTGCAGGTTGACTGCAGTGACTACCCTAAACCCGTCTGCTCGCTTGAGTACATGCCTCTCTGTGGCTCTGACAGCAAAACATACAGCAATAAGTGTAACTTCTGCAATGCAGTCTTGTATGTACAAACATGGATCACATTCGTGTTATCAGTTGCCTCCTACAGGCAGAAGTTTGCACAGTTGCCACTTTTTCTTGTGTGCTGACCAGTGCTGATCAGGGATTTGGGGCAGGAGAGAACACCAGCCATCATGCCAATCATTTATTTCTTTTCATTAGAGCATACAAAGAGCTATGTCTGGTTTGTTAGTGTGAATGGTTTGAAGACCATTAAACTTACTTAATGGAATTTTTCTTGCATGTTGCAAAGAAAATTAAATTTGAAATTTCATTATAGTTCCCAAAAATATTTTCGGTCTTGAGAATGGGTTAAATGGTTTCACTCATCTCTTAATAATCAAATAGCTAATGGGACTCTGAGCCTGCAAGTTCTTTGGCTCTGGGGCAGGATCCTATCTGATGCCTTCTCTAGGAGCCAAGCAAAAGGACAGATTATAGCAGGCAGGACTCTGTCTAATCCGTTTTTTCCTTTCCTCACTTTCAGGGACAGCAATGGGACTCTCACTTTAAGCCATTTTGGAAAATGCTGAGTATCGGTGCTGAGAGAATTCAACATAGGATCCCCACTGGCAAATCCCAGCTAAAGATCTCACCTCAGTTCATCTCGTCCTCTGGGGAACTCAGCTCACTCCTGATTTTCTTTCTCAATAAACTAAATCAGCAACATTTCTTTGTCTTGTTTCATGTGTTGTCTCATGAAACATTTTCTTCTGATTTGTTGAATGATGATGCCAGGCTGAATAGGTTACGTGCTCATAGCTCTGGGATATAACAAGAACGTCTTGCTCCCCTCCCTCTCATAAAAGGCAGAAAATTAATTACAGATGCATAAACCTCAGAGCTCTGTGACTTTGCACATAAATGATAGTCAGCCTGCATTTGTGTTCAGACCCTTTTAGACATTTGACATTGTAAAGGGCTGAAATACCGCTCTCAAGCGATGACGCTAGTTGATCTCTCCCAAGGTATTTCTGGTGCACTTTCCCTGTGCAGGCATCATCAGCAAAACCCGTTCAGGCTGTGATGGTGTCTGCACCAAGAGCTGGTCCCTGGCCTCCTGAGCACGGTCCTCACCTGAAGCGTAGCACTCGGCAAGCGCAGTCTGTTAGCAAAGCCCATATTTTTTCACACACATGTCTAGGTCCTCCAAATGACTTATTTCTAGGTTTTTCTCATCTTGAAATCGTCCTTTAACAACCCTCAAGCATTTTAAGATAAATGCCCTCCTAGGGATGGTTCCTACTCCTGCCTACTTGTCTTCTCTCTTAGTCTTTAATAAGATAATACTCTTTACCAGCCCAAGGAGTATTTCAGCAGTCTTTCACAATCCAAGGACAAAGTATCCTTCTGTTTTTTGAGAGTGTGACCTGTCATTAGCGTATTGTCCATGAAATTTATTTTGCTTTTGTCCTCTGTTGGAGTATTGAATTGGTGTTTTTTTGATCCACACAAGAGAAACATAAATAAATTGGACATATCCCTTCTAAAAAGTAATATCTCCCATATGCATTTCTTCTGGGACCGAAGGGAGGGGGGTGCTTGTTTTCCTTGATGGAATGAGATTGTCCAAAATAAGCGATGCTTTGGTGGTAAAACAAAGGATTTATGTTGAGATGGGCAGATGGATGAAGCAGCGATTCCCAGATCGGGTTCAACTTTTCTAGGATCCAGGCTAGGGTCTCGCATCATTCTGTCATCATCAGACTATCAGTCCATTACTGCAAATCTAACCCACGATGCTAATGGCTTTTAGGGGAAATAACAATTGTAAATTCTTTGCATATGCCCATGAAAGTTGCTCCATCTCTTGCCCAGTCCAAGGACTCCCTTCAGTGTCTGGGACACCCTCTTGCTTGCCTTCCCAGTTCACCACTTTCCTGGTTTCACTATAACTTAATGATGCTTTACTGGGATGAAGCATGAAAATAAGAGAAGAGACTTTCCACTCTGGAAGCAGTTCGTTCAATGTCTTGCTCGTGAAAAAGCACTGCACGTAAGTAGGCACTGATAGGTGCACACAGAGAAAATTTGACAGCAGTTGCTGCTTAGGTTTGTACAGTTGCTCTTTTCCCCGTAGGAATTTTCTATGGTCCTTCAGAAGGAACATGTCATATATTTCACTTGAAATAACGACACAGAGAAGGTCCCCTAACACACCTAAACTTCTTGTGACTCCTGTTGATGAAGAAGCATTCTTCCTGGCTTACAGCATGGCTTACCTCTGTTGAGATCACCACCCGGACAAAAGACCAGGAATGTTACTTCACAATAAGGGTGGATAAACCAAATATGAATGCACGCAAACGCGTGCACACAAACACACACACACGCACACAAACATGCGCGCCTACATATAAGCATGGTTACCACCTGAGGGCAGAATTAAGGCTACGTACACTGAGCAAAACACAGGCTCTGCTGCACACAGACGCTTCACCCACCATGAAGACGGCAGGAGTGTTGCTGCTGTTCGCTCTAGCCCTTTGCTGCATCCCAGGTGAGTAGCTTTACTCTCTCCTGCTCTGCCTTTGAGTAAGTGCTGGCTGTCTTTAAAACCACAAAAACATCCTCAGACTGGAAAGAGCTTCATTCTACAAGGACTTATTTACTCCTAGAAAGATAGTGTTGAAAAGACTTGACATCAAAGACTATCACTTATGGGGTAATATTTTAGCAACAGAACTGAGTGGGTAAGAACAACTGTGGGAACAGCTCTACTCTCAGCGCTAGTTTATGCATAATGAAAGAAGTGACATGTACGTGGTGCAACCCGGAGACTCAGACATCCAGTATTTAACCTCTGAAATGTTGCAGAAACACAAATTATTTTACTGAATGACAGCAAACATTTCTTGTAGTCATCCTGAACTGAGATGCGGTTTGAAAGCCTGAACAGTTGTAGAAGCTTTATAAAAGTTACACCTCACTAAATAGCCCTCTTACTTAAGAACTGTTCTGGCAATGCATGTAAGACGCTGCCTCCGTGTAGTCGCCAGCTTTATGACCCTGCTTGCCTCAATAACTTGCTTAGCTTTGAGTACGTGTCCCGCTCCGTTCTTTGAACCATGGAAAATGCCGTTCTCTTTCCTTTTGTACACCCTTTTCCATTTTGGCTGTAACCCTCATTAAAAAAATTATACTACAGAATCAATGTTGTAAAAAACCAATATGGCACAAAATTTTGCCTGAAATTCCTTTTGTTTAAGAAGTAATTTGCTAACAAACAGTGAATTGAAAGTTGTGTATTCAGGGCATGCATTCACAGATTTTTTAACTCTAACAGAACCCATGAATTATTTGTTTCATATTGCCTTCTTTTTTTCTTTTTTCCAGATACTAATGCACTGCAGGTAAGGGACAGATCTTTCTGTTTTCCATCATTTCTTTCCTTAAAACTGTTTCTGTATAAATCCTTACTAATCACATTGTGATCGAGCATTTGAAAATCCTGAGTCATCCAGCTGTCTGAATAATATTTGCCACAGATATTATTGGGTGTAATTGCCATTTTCATCTGATGATAGTTTCAATGAGTAGTGCAGTATTCAGTTCGTGTCCAAATTATTGTCAAACATACTGCAGCAGCGTTTACGATGGTTACACAGGCTCTGCATTGCTGGAGGCAACATCCCATACCACTGTACTCCTGCCCTGTCCCTGGGCTTTTTCTCAGCATCTGCTTCTGGCCAGTACTGGGGGGAGCTCATTGTCTGTGTGTGTGTGTCTCCTAATGCCACCTTTCTTACATATCTGTTGTTGAGAGCTTTTCTGTGAACATAGATTGCATCTATCTACAGGGCTACTGCAGTAACTACGTGGTACCCAGCGCTGTCTGTACTATGGAGTACGTCCCACACTGCGGGTCCGATGGTGTAACATACGGCAACAAATGCTTATTCTGCAATGCATTCCTGTATGTATGAAAATAAATCTTTTCACTAACTAAATGGTGAACAAACTTAGTTTAAACTAACTGATCAGTCTTGGAGGCTGGTTGGAGAAGTAAATTTCTTATATTTTGTGTTTACCTGTTCTCTTACTAGCAAGGGTCAGGTTTTTTATTGGGAGAATTTGACAGGAATTCCTTTCTTTCAGGTATAAAGAGGTAACATTTAGTAGAGTTCTTCATTTCCCTCTTAAGTAATTTGCTGAAGAGCTTTCTTCCAGCAAAAAAAGTCTATTTCCTACAGACTATTTTTTCTTCCTTTAAATTAAACCTTTGTCTTTAAATGTTAGTAATAAAAGGAAATAGCTGGAATAGCGTTCAGAAGTTTGCTGGTTTAAGTTCCTCTATGATATATCCTTCACCAGAGGGAGAGACAAACAGTAAAAGCCCAGGTGTTCTGTCTCTGAGGCACTGATTTGTTCCTCCGCAGGAGAAGCCGTCGGTCTCTTCGCTTGAGACGTCTTCAGGAGTGTTAACTTCTCGACAGGCTTCAGCTCAGAAAGAGGAATCCTCCCTGGCAATGTTCCCCATGGCAGATGCTCCCCTAAAGCTTTGTCCTGAACCTTGCAAGCTCCTGATGAATCTTGAAACCTCTGCTTAATAAAAAAGCCATCAGCATTTATGTCTTGCTTTAATAATATGTCTCATTCTGTTTTTACCTAAGATGTTGCATGATTACATCATTGCAACAATCCTGGGGTGTGGGTATTAACGGGTAAATTACAGGGAGAGGGAAAAAACATTGTTCTGATCTACAAAGAAATCGACCCCAACCGCAAAGGCAATGGGTAAATCTTGAGGGCATCTGCCTTCCTCTAGCTTTCCAAAAGAAAACCACAGCTGGAGATGCATCTTGGTGCAATGCTCCAGTCGATTTATTCCACTAAGGGACAGACACTCTCTGCTTGGGTGAGAGGAACTGTCTGCCTCCTTAAGCGCTGCTGTCAAATACCTGCTGCCTCACTGTATGGTAGACTTTGGCAGCATGAAGAGGCCCCAGGCAAACCTGAACATACACATAATTAGAGACAGTCCCAAGACTGTTGCAGTTGGGGGTGTTTTGTGGCTGCTCTGCAAAAGCTGTGGAGGCACAGAGGGTCTTGCTGGCACTGATTGCTGCTCATCCCTGTGTTGGTTTCCAGGGTTAGCCCCATTTCTTATGCCCACAAGAGAAGTGGTGAAGAAGGGCAGTTCCCAGCTGCATCCCTTCCCCTTGCAAGCAGGGTTGGAAACACACCTTTAGGTGAGAGAAGCCCTTTTGCAATCCGCTCTACCTCCCAAAGCAACGGGACAGGGTGTTTTCTCTGGGCAGGCAGATACCTGGCTGCCTACGCTCATGTTTGCAACATTCATCAGTGCGGGGTATTGCAGAAAAGCAGTGGGCAGTCAGTCCTAACAGACCTGATGTTCGGAGGACTGCTAGCAATCGCTACCGCAGCCCGTTTCTGCACCTCACCCACCACTTAGCTGCTGCTTGTAGGTAATTACATCGACTGTCGCTTGTAGAGGATCCTTTGAGATTCTTCGGCCTCTGGAAATCTCGGCTGATGAAAGGAAGGGCTCAGAGTCATAGCGTTAATTTATTATTCATTAACAGCGAAGCGCTGGCAGTGTGGTGTGCTGTACAGACAGCAGTCTCACAGTCAAATAGTTAATGATCTTAAGTGACAATGTGTCACTTTCCAGAGACTGGAGAGAGCAGCTCTCTGAAGGGAGAAAATTTATTTCCAAAAGACATGACTCTCTGCAACCATTTATTGCCAAGTCCCTTCCCGGGGCTGGAATGTCCCTCCTGTGAGAGGGAGGTCTGTGTGCGGGAAGGCATTTCACTGCCAGATGCAATTTCTTAGGACCAAGACAAATTGAGGCTCCAGGAGGTAGTGCCGGGGGTGTGTGGCTCAGGGGCTTCGTGCTCCTTCTTGTCCCCCTCCACCACGCGAGGGAATCGGGGGTAAGAGAACAGCAGCTCCAGCACTTATTTTCTTTCCTGTGGAGCAGCGGAGAGGATGAGGATGGCCCCCAGGAGCCATGATGCCTTGGAGACAAGCGGAGCTCCCGATCACGCTCAAGATCCCAGTGGTCCTCAGAGGGCATCTTCCAGGGGCCATGTCCGCTAAACAGGAAAATCCACCAGGCAATTGAGGGGAAACTGTGAGTAGAAATGAACGGGGACAAATCCTCCACCCTGATGCAGGGTTATGCAGCATTACTCAGCAGTAACCGAGGGCAGAGCAGGACCCCAGCGGCACCCCAGACCCCCTGCCCCCGGCAGGCAGCTCCTTAGGATGGAGAGGAAGACAGTCCTCTTTTATGGGCACCTCACTGGAAATTATTTTTTTGTTGCTGCTCAATAAAATCCTGCCACAACACAAAATCCTCTCACCATTACTAATCTAACTCTCCCTCCAGGAAATTCAAGGCAGGAAACATTGTCTGCCTGCTGAGGTATTTTATGGTACAATTCTTTAAGCAGTACCTCGGCACTTTATGTCATCTGATGTTCGTGAATTTAGGAAATGCCATTCAATTACCCCATAACCTGATTAACACATTGCATGTAGTTATTTTGTTCTGCTCTATTTTATATCAATGCTTCTGTTTTAGTGTATTGTTCTACTTGTTGCTGGCCAAAATATACCTCAGGCCAGACTAGACCTTTGTGTTAATGCAGTTTCTCTCTGAGGCTTCATTCAGGGTAAATGGTTTGTTACTACGTTCTTTCTTGATGCGGAGAAAAATAAAATGATGTTTTAAAAGAAAATTACTTGGAGACATCATTTTTGGGGGCTGGCTGTGTCAGAGCTATCGCAGCGAGGCAGAGCTGGGACTTGCTGAGGCACTGGGATGTGCAGGGCCAGATCCTCAGGCTTTTGCTGTTAGTATGCGGCTCCCAGACAGTCAGATTATTCCAGCTACCCTTGCCTGTGATAGCATCTACGCTTAAATGACTGGAGATATGCAGGCAGCAATCAGAGAGCTGAACTGCAAAGAGAAATATTACATGAGTGCGGCTTAGAGCAGGGGCTTTGCTTGCTGTAAATTGGATTAACGTTCTCAAAGAAGATCCAGTTCTGCCCCCGTGTGCAGAAGTCTGGGAACAGCAACCTGTTTTGTGAGCTCTTGCAGTGTGCCACATCGCTCGTCAATGGCGAAGAAATGCATTTTGCATTTGTCTCTACAGTAGCATAGACTGGAACACAGTACCACTTTATTCTTGATTACGGTGCAGTGTGTGACAGCGGGATACGGGAGCAAAGACAATGATACCGCTGCCAGAATAACAACACACAGTCTTGCATGCACGCATCCACCTTTTTCATTTTCCAAAAAAATTAAAGAGTATAATTTCTCTTTGTAGCTAGATGAAGCCTGTGACAAGTTTTAAACTAAAGCAGGGAAAATAAATGCAGAATTTTTTAGGTCGTGGTAGGTTATGGACTTGTTTGACATAGGGAATCTCAAGACCAGAGGAAAAGATTTCCAGGAAAATATCACTGTTATGGGAAGAAATAATGCTGGGTTAAAAACTGGGTAGAACTTCCAGAGTTATTGGAAATTTACCTTAATACAAGAGGATCCATCCTTTGACTACCAATGTTTATCCCACTCATGTGGCCACAACCTTCTTGGAAGTTTGCCCTCCAAGAACTTGAAATAGCAGGAAGAGTTTTATTTAAACTTTTCTCTGGCTCTCATATCTGCAGAAAGGTTAAACTAATCCTATGGCCAAAGCCACTTTTCTGAGCCCACCATCATGAGACTCTTGAATATCACAGAGGGGTTTTGGCAGGTGAGTTCATTTTGCCCTTCCCATTTGCAGCATGTGTATGACATTTCCCGAAGCTCACACTTCCAAATGCATGGAGACAGTTGTTTTTGACTGCTCCTAAAGCCTGTTTTCAACCCACCTGCTGCCCCACAATTACTTCTGCCCCATTCCCTCTGTTTCTCGTTAATGGAGCTCCTTGTGCAATCCCACGTCACACCTCGCCCAGCAGCTCTCGCTGCCCTGCCCTTTGCTGCCAATTATCTCCCATCCTTTCTCGTAGACCCTGTAGCAAGACCCTTTCCTTGCTTCTCTTTTTCTCCCTGCTGCCCTGTGAAGTGGCAGGGATTACTGGAGGAAAAGAGCTGCTTTTGGAGCAGTCCTGCCTGGCTACCCTGACCCTCCCAAGCAGCATGCAGATCAGAGGGGGATCTCCCCAGCGGAGCTAATTAATAAAAGGGCAGATGTTGGCCAAACACAAGAATGATGCTGCTGCCTAGCAGATACCCTGCCATTCACGACAGCTCCTGAGCGACCAGCGCGATTTCAGCCTGGCAGGAGAGGAAACCGGAGAAGCAGCACAGTTCCTGGTAACTGGGGATCTCAGATCTGGAGGCGGATATGGAGAAGCTCAGGTCGCAGGGCTGGAGAGGAGACAGACTACATTCCTGTAGCCTCACTAACCACTGCAGAGCCAGCAAGTGCCATCTCCACCGGCGGCTGGTGCAAGTTCTGAGGAAGCCTTGTTCTCAGGCTTCGGCATTCTGGCCCCTGGAGAATAATCAATGTTAATGCTTCTGTGATTACTGCTTCCCTTCCAAATATGCTCACAATCAGTTCAAGGAATCTAAAAGTCAAGTCACTCAGGATGCTAAGAATACAACAGAAACAGCTTTCAAAGGAACCCTTCAACTTCTGATATTTGTGAATGAGATCCAAATAACATTACTCATTTATTTTTCAGGAAAATGATTTCATTGATACGAACAGGCCAAATCCTGCAAACTCTATTCTGTGACTATAATTCCCTTGCACTTTCAGCTACATTTTTATGATTTATCTGCCCATGCCAGGACTTGAACATCTCCCAGGATAGTAAGAAAAACAATTCTGATTTTCTGTTTAAAACTCAGGCTGCCTTTAAGCCACATGTATGAATCAAACTGCTTCTAAAGCACAAACATGTTCCATCCCTCACTTCCTTCCGTGACTACCTTAAATCAAAAATGTATTATTTTAAGCAATATTCCTTATTTGTTTTTCCATACACTTACGATAGAGTTGAACCACTTAACAGAGCCTAGCACATTATTCTTCACTTATCTTCCTCAAAACAAGACTTTCAGCTGACACTCTAAATTTAATGCCATATAATGGGGGGGAGGAGGGGGGAGGACCTAAGGACTCACCTTCTTTTTGCAGCTGCTGCAAATTTTTCATGAATGTCTTTGGTATTAAGAAGCCCACGTCACCTGCACAGAACACCACTCACTTGCTATTAAGGGGAAACATTATCCCAGTGCAGATCTAAGGCTACTTATTCTCATAATTTCTTAATCAGGCTCATGCCCATTACCAACAGATTAATAACTCTTGCATAGAAAGTTAATATAAAGACATAGAAATGTCAATGTCTTTATAAAGTTCTGAAATTTTAGGTAATGCTTTCCTGTTGTGATGACTGTTTCCTTCCTATTGGTGAGAAAGCCAGTGTACCAGGAAACTATAGGAGAGAGTGCGGAGAGATTGATTGAACCCTCAGCATCTTCAGAGTCCACTGATGCCTGCCAAACCCCAGATTTTATGTCTGTAAAAGCTTAGAGTGTCCCATGCTGCTGTCCCCCCCATGCAACTCTCCTGGAGCCCAAATACCGTCTGGTGTATGTAATATGGTGTGCACAAGTTCAAACACTTTCAACAAATGGGCTTTTTTTGCTTTACCAACTTCCATATGTAATTTCACAACATCTACTATTGAGACAGTGCTCTTGTTTGGAAAGTACAAATCACTCATTGTACAGCAGGGCGCCTTTGTTAACAGGTTGGGTGTAGCTCACATTTTTCTTTAATTCTTCTGGGCATCTCTCTAACAAACAAGTGTTCTTTAGAGCTCAACTCAATAATCAATACAATTTTCTTAGTTTGCAGAACAAATAATTACTTTATGGGATGACTTCACAAGTTCCAGGAGATGTATATATATAGTGCGGAGAAAGAAGGCTGAGAACCATCTACTGAACGGCAGTAGATTTGCAAGTAACAGACCATATCAACCATCTCTGCCATGAAGACAACAAGAAGCTTTGCCCTTCTTGGGCTTGTGCTTCTCAGCTGCCTTTCTGGTAAGTTGTTTTTGTTACAGTCTATGCTAGTACCTCTAGTCCTCCTGAACTTTTGCTTTTATATATACATCTTAAAGGAGAGTTCAGCCTTTTGGAGAAGTGATGATTTAGTAATACATGAGGTCTCTTTTAATGAACTTTATCCTTGTGCAGATAAATGCTATAGATCAGTAGGATGCATTTGTCTGATTTAACCTTATGAGACTTAGTGGGGATAATAGCATTGCAAAAGGAGAAAAGTTTAGGTCCTATTTCTTCTTTAGTGAGTCAAAATTTCTGCTTGACAAATAATTGATTTTTTAAATCTTAGCACATAACTTCTTGTTTACTCAGAGTAGATAAAACATTTGGGAAAACAATAACTTCTCGGTAATAAAAAAGTATGTTTGGTTGCTCTGTTGGGAAATTGATGATTCTAAAAGAATTTGAGTCAAGAACATTGTACAATTTTTATATTTTGTAATCTCTGTTTTTATTGTAGACATTGTTATCGCTCAACAACGGGTGAGTAGTCAATCTGCTTTGTCATTTAGTCTTGATTTCTAAGTCTAGATGAATAATTCATACTCACAGTGTAACCCAGGGAAGATTTGACAGAGAAGAAGAAAGAGAGTGAGTGAGAAAGGAAGAAGGAAAAGTGCTCCTAAGTATTATACCACCTCTTTTCCCCAAAACAAGAAGATGTCTTTGTCAGAGAAAGATAACTTACCATGTTGATGATAAAAAAGGCAGTGATAAATAATGTAGAGTGAGAGTCAGCACATCACAGAGTGCCAGCAGAAAATCCATACAACTATTGAATAACTGCCTAAGTATCTTCCCTGTCTTGATTCCCCAAGGAATGATCATTTTTGCCTGCAATTCTTGCCAAAAATACTGAAAGTCTTAATAGTGAAAAGGTGTTTTTGCATGCTGTAAGAAACACAGTATATTTTGTTCCCTCTCTTCTTCACCGTGGAGGAACGATAGAGAAAAACAATGACCAACAGTAGTCTCCCAACACAGCGAAAACACGATTAACACAAGCACACCCTTCTCTCCACTTGGAGACATTACAAGTCCTCTTTAACAGGCCTCCTGCGGCATGTACCAGTTTTCTGGAAAAACGCAGCTTGCCTGTCCCCGCGACTACGAACCCGTCTGCGGGACCGACAGCGTGACCTACCCCAACGAGTGCTCCCTCTGCAAGGAAATGTTGTGAGTATAAGGTCTCCCGATTACCTACAATGCCAGTCCAAACAGCAGACAAAAGCCTTTGGGGTTGTGACTAATCGTGGGGTGGACTAGATTTTTCATAAGTTTCTGTCTTCCCTAATGCCCACGATCTTCCGTGTCAAAGCTCCTGAATCTGATTAATTACTGGGGTTTTACGAGTGGAGATATTTAATGAGTGAGATGACTACATAGCATCAACAGATTAATCCTTCCTTTCCTTCTCTCTCTCTCCCTGTAGCCGTAACCGAGCCCTCGACAAGAAGCACGACGGAAGATGTGTTAAGGTAAGGTCTGAGATCGGTTCCTTCTCTTGCTGCACTGAGCAGTGGTGAGTGAAATGGTGGCAGAGAGCTAGACAGAAACCTCGCCTAGGATTAAATCTGTATTAAAAACACACAACTTAAAACTGTCAGAAATGTAATGAAAATGAAAAATTTCAGATTTGTAAGAATTTCTTTTAAATTTTGCTTGAACAGTTAAAATCAGTGAGTTTTAAAATGTTACCTTGTGTATAACACCAGACTTCTTAAGAATGGAAACTTTTGATTTCAATAATGCTTCAGCGTTATCAAAACACTTCTCTTTAGACTTAGACTTAGAGGCTTGTTGAAGCTAAGAAATTCCCAGAGGACGTCTGGATTTTGACTAAATCGTAATTTTGTAACAGAAAAACGCTTCTATCAGAATGTTTATCATAAAGTTTGTTTATCAATATATGGAGCTACCGTGAAGTGGAGAAGTATCTCTATTTTTACTTTAGAGAGAGAAAGTAAAGAAACTGTGTGGCTGTGCAATTTAACATAATACAACGACTTCCATTTCAGTACACTCAGAGTAATTGCAGAAACACCAGTGTGAGTGTAAACTCCATTTTCAAGTGGCATTGACATTTCGCAGCAAAAGTTGCTGCCGCGTAAGGCATTTTAGGCAAAGATCCTTCACGGTGGCGTTCACAGTGAAAATCCCCAAGATGATAGGGATGAAGCCCATTTCAGGACAGGAAAAAACCAGATACTGCAGGATCATGCTGTACCCGCGTGCAGGATTTCAACTGTTGGTGCTCCCCCAACTCCACCACGCTGGGGCTGGAAGCTCCTCTCCCCTTGCAGCTCTGGGGAGAGGGGGAGATGTCTCTTACACAGGACTGATGCAAAGAGGAACAGGGATTAAAATGTTGTTCTGTGACTGTTTCAGCTCGACTGTACTGGCTACCTGAAATCAAGCAGCGGTGGTGCGATGCCCTGCACCCTGGAGTACATGCCCATCTGCGGCACCAACGGGGTTACCTACAAAAACACATGCAACTTCTGCAATGCTGTGGCGTGAGTGAAGGGGCTGGGTCACGGGAGGGGTTTCTGGGTCGTCAGGTGCTCGTGTTGGTATTTAGAGCTTAACGAAGTAGTTTGACTCGTGAAGCGGCTGTGCTGTGCTCATTCATTCTCAACTCGCTTTCTTCCCGAAGGAATGGACTGGACATAGACCTGCGCAATATTGGAGAATGCTCCCAGGTAAAGCACACAAATCTGCACTCTTAACTGCTGTTACAATACATTTTACCACACAAATTCACTGAATCGTAACTAAATAATAGAAACGCCTGCACTGTCCTGGTGCGTTTGGCCTGGAAATAGGATTTGAGGAAAATAGTTGAAGTATGCCAGGGTCAAAGGGTATTGAACCAAATTTGTGACTCAGATACGCAGTCCCCCCTCTGACCTGGGAACACAGCAGTCAGCGGGTGCTGAGACCTTCATTTACCGGGAAAGGGGCTGAGCAAGAGATGCTGCCTCATCCCTTCTGCGGGAGAGCTGGAGGGTCATATCCTACCAGCACTGCTAGTAGCGGTGATTCCTTGGGTGGGAGTGCTTTCTGCAGTGTTGCTTGTGACCATCCACTTTCTGTATGCTTGCCTCTGCCAACCT